CAATAACTAACTCATGACAATGCACGAGCAAATAAAAAAATAGTTTTTTTGTAGTAATAAATGGTAAGATGTTAAAGAGAGTTCAAAAAGAAATTGCAATATTGGGTGTGAATGTAATAAAAGAGGGAACTTTAACGGCGATTTCGTTTTTATTGGTCCCTCCCTTGTTTTTTGACCGTTGACCATTTCAGCTCTCTCTTTCTCACTTTTATATTTTTATTTTGCATGATTTGATAAAAGGACGGCATGCAAATATAGAGGGAAGAACATAGCGTTCCATGTGAACGAAGGATCTACAGATTTTTGGCTGTCTTTACTGGTCGAGTTTGAAGATGGAGAAGGAGACATTTGTTCTATGCATATTCGTCAAGTACACTCTCTTTTTACTTTATAACCAGAACTCACTCACTTCCTTTAATTCCACTTTTTCTTACCACTGAGTCGCTTCCACTTTCAAAGTCTTACTTTTTTATATACAATAAGTAAAAAGAAGGAAAGGTCAGTCTTTAGTGGAGTGAACACAATTATGAAATCTTTATTTGACCAACTAGAAAGGCACTGGCACAACACTCAAGTCTTTGCTAAAGTAAATATAAAAACAGACTCAAGATGGGTTTTTTCTTTGTGTGTTGGATGTTAATGGTGCAGGCAGGATCAAGGGAGTGGTTAAGCATGTATGGGGAGCTAATTGGTGCATTATCGGAGGACCACTCAAAGGACCATTCTCCGTCAAGATCACCACTTTGTCCGCCGGTAAAACACTGTTGGCCACCGACGTAGTCCCAAGAAACTGGGCACCTAAAGCAACTTACTCTTCTCGACGCAACTTCTCCCCTGTCCTCTAAAAGATCCTAAGATTTCTATTACTAAGTCAATGTGTGATTGTTTTTTTGAAGAGTGAAAAGAGAGAGTGACTGCTGACCGTAGGATGGCTATAATAAGAAAGTGCATCCTAATCCAACGGCTCTTGCGTTCTCTCCTCTTCCTTCTTTGTGTTGTGGTTTTTTGTGTGATGTGTCGGTGAGTGTGTAGAGGCACAGTAGCCATCTCCAAAGGGGAGATAGAGCTAGGAGTAGTTCTTGGTGGTGTCATTTCCAATCTAATCTTGTCACTTTCTTTTTCTATTATGGGACATTACATAATATATCATATGAAATATTTGTCACTTTCTCTTTCTATTGTGGGACTTTACATAATTTATCATTGGAAATTGCACATTCTGTACACTACTATTTCAGAGAGATGATTGAAATTCTACCAGAACAGAGTATCTCTTCTTTCTTGTCCGACTCAAAACCCAATAATGTAGGGAAAATAATGTTACCAACAGAGTATTTCCAGCAACTGCATCTTAGGGGGTTTGTCCCCAATTTCTTTTGGCTAGTCTAAGCTTTAGTATACTTCCCAATGTTCTTGGAGTCTTTGGATGGAGGAGTTGGCATCATATGTGGCCAATGATTCGACCTGAGCTTCAAGAAAATCTATCAGTTAGTTTAGGACCCCGAACCATCTGCTTAGTTTTCTGTTTGGATCTTTTATCCATCTATTCTTCTCAATGTTGGAAACTTCCATTGGGATTAGCTCTGCAATTGCTTTCAAGTCGACTTCTTTGTGCAACTTCTCTTGGTTAGCCAAGTAAAGCTGCAAGAGACGACCAAAATCCACAACACTGTCTAATACACAATACTAAAACAGCTAGTGAAGTCTGAGGAATGTGTCAACTTACTTCTTAGTCTTGCTGTTCTTTTCCACTTTCTCATTGAAACCTTGTTGAATTCTACCGCTTCAGGGGATGATCTAATGCTGCGATCTGTCGCATTCCCTTCTCCTCAAGGTTGAATGGCGTTTTTGACTACACCAATGTTATGAGAGCCAAAATATCTGATTAGTGGTGCAGATTCAGATTGTATAGTCATGGTGATTTTCAGTATTATCCGTTGACATAAACAGACCAAAACAGCTAGTGAAGTCTGAGGAACGTATCAGCATACCGTTTAGCCTTGGTTGGTCTCGATGTTCTTTCCCACTTTCTCATAGAAAACCACTCGTGAATTCTTCAGCTTCAGGTATGATCTGATCACAAATTTCCTTCTCTCATTTCCCCTTCTCCTCAACGTTGACTGCACCCGTGAGAACCAAAATATCAGACCAGACACTTAACCATAGTCCATACATGTATATAATTTAGTCTTGGTGATTATAGTATTATCTGGTTTATGACATATATAGATCCAAAAAGGAAAAAAAATGTAGAAGTGGTTATAGCCAAAGGCAATAAGATATAAATGGTAAAGACTGCAAGAGAATATGACATTGTGATGACATGCTTAGGAGTAAAAGACATTGCTTATCTAACATAAGATGCAAAATGATCCCACACCATCAGATTGATATCATTGATAAATACATAGGAGATCCATTTTAAAAAAACAGAATCATAGAAGAAGATGATATAGTAGGCAAATTCTAAATCCAAATCAGATTAATATAGTATGCTTCCAAAATTAGAAGAGAGATGCATAAAAGAGGAAGATCGCAACAGAGTTATTAGATGAAGAAAGCAAACCTTCAGCTTTACCTACACAAACAAACACAAGCAGAGATCTATACACATGTCTTCTTCCATATATAACTCAAAAACTTTCCTTGGTACATAAGAAGACAATAAGATCTACGGTTCGCTTGAAACTGAGACCATTGCCCTACGTTGTCGTTTCTCTGCCTTCTCCAGGATTATACATCTCTTAAGATGGCTAACCACTTTCAAAACGTCGTACTTACCTCACCGGATTGTGAAGCTTTATACATTAATCATCCTTGTTTGGTTTTACAGTCTCAAATCATGTATGTTTCCAAATACGAAGAGAGCACTTAGCAAAAAACAAACAAAAACTCACTAAATATAACAGTGAACACTGGAATCTAGAAAGCAAAGGGACAAGAAGCATTGATGTCCGGTGATACCACCACGTGAAGGGGTCACGTGACCACCCAATAACCTGCTTACACGTCACCAAACCCTCGTGGACTCTGCTCCATTCTCTAGGTCTAATGTATCCAAATTCATCCTTCCA